GCGGGGACCCTCCCCCCGGCGCCCCGGCCCCCGCACCCCCGGCGCCCCGGCGGGACCCCTCCGGCGGGGGCCGCGGGGAGGCCGGCTGCCGGGGCGGGGGCCCTGGGACTGCAGCTGTGCTCTCTCCCCAGGCAGCGATGGATCTGGAGGCGGGAAGGAACGGCACGGCCCGGCGCCCCAGGAGAGCGGGAGGCGACTTGGAGCTGAGGAGCAACAGCAGGTACAGCCCCGCGGGCACCCGGTCCCGTTACGCGCGAGTCGGCCGCGCCGAATCCGGCCGCGGACGGGAGTTCACAAAACCTGCTCGGTGCCTGGGCCTGGGTCTCGGAGCCCCTGTGGGCGTCTCGCCTGCGATCGGACCTTTCCCGAGGAATGTCCCTGCGGCTCCTGGCGCCGCGGGCGGGCTCGGGAAGAGGCTGTCTTTCCAGGCGCCCGCTTCCCTTTGTCAGGGTGGTTCGGGGAATATCTCTTGTATAACAATCCTGGTGTTATATAACTCAAAACTTTTACAAACAACTTTCGTAAACATCATCTGCTTTTTCATGCTTATGGAGCATCAAACATTCGCGGCGGATGGGTGCGCTTTTAGATCCAGGGCCGGGAAGCTGGTCCCCCTCCTCCCCCTCCTTAGTCCTCTTCCTCCTGTCTTACCCCTTCCCCCTCCTCCCAGAGCCGGGCGGGTTCCGCGTTTCTCAGCCCCGGGCCTTGAGGTGGGGAGGGGGGCCCTTGGGCAGCCTCATTCTTCCGTACCCCGCGCTTCCAAATCAGTTTTTGTTCCAATACAAGGCGGGGAGGGGGGGAGCTCAGGGCTTCCTTTGCTTGCGCGTCTTTCTCCCGGTGCTGGCTCTTTGGTTCCCGGGGGGCCCCTGTTAAGTGCACTTCACAGGCCTTTGTAGGAGCAGAAGCAACCGGTCAGTGGAGTGCTGTCTTTGTTTCCTCTTTCACTGTGGGAATAGTGAATCATTTTCGCCTTCGGCCTCGAATAGTTTATGAGGCAGTTATGTATGGCCTCTGAGTTCACACCAGGCCATCCAGAACTAAATGACCCGTGTCACGGAGTAATCACCCAGGGAGACACATTTATCAAGTTCCCTAGTGTGTCCTCAAGCTGCAAGGGGCCTGATTAGCCAACTGAAATATGCCTATCTGATGTTGGAACCGAAGCATCATTTTAGTCTGTTGGCTTCTTCTTCCAGTGATATTGCTCTGTTCCTTCTGAGTACCGTGACACTCATTCATGGAAAGTTTAGTTTGCCCCGTAGAACTGGAAAACGGATGTATGGTGGAATTTCTACCGGAAAGATCCGGTATTCATCAGTTGGCACTTTAGTCTGGGATTGACTGTGACTCTATAAATAGGTGGCATTTTCACCAGGAAGGCTATTTATGTATTGCTTTGGCTGAACATTTGATAAGTGTACAAAGGAGCTCTCCCTGAAGGAAAAAAAAAATGCAGTAACACTCCAAAACCTAAGGAAGTTCTCAGAAATGGAGCTCACAGCCTTGTGCTGGAGAGAAGAAAACAGTTCAAAAGGGAATGCAGGACGTTAAGAAGACAATAAGCCTGCAAAGTTATGAAATTAAATGTAATGAGGCTACTTTTTATAAAAAGCTTCTGCATTCAAAGGAAGTTAAGCTCACCTCAGTCATCTAGGGAAAATGGAAACTTCGTTATATGCTTATTCCAGTCATGCCGCTACTGCCTGTGGCACGTTCATATAAACATAGTTTGTGGCAGATGTCTGCCCTTTGATTTAAGCAAATGTTCTAAATAATTTGGGATCAAGTTTTATGAGTTAACTTTATCAAGCCAAATAAATGAATTTTATAAACACACACACACACACACACACACACAATTCTGCCCTCATGGAATGAACTGACATTATTGTGTGGCGGGCAGACATAAATAATACACAGGCTAAATAAGTAAACTACAGTAAATGTCAGAAGATAACGAATGCTATGGAAAAACATTAGTCAAGAGTAAGGACATCAAGAGGGTGACGAGGAAGTAGTGTGTAGTTTTAAATAGGGCGGTTAAGGTAGGTCTCATTGAGGAGGCAGTGTTTGAGCACAGATTTGAAAGAAATGAGAGGAGAGCGAGTGTGGGTGTCTGAAGAGAGCTCTCCTGGCAGAGGCGTCTGAGAGTGTGAAGACCCTGCGAGGGGAGGATGCTGGCTGTGTTCACAGGACAGCAGAGAGGCCAGGGTGGCGGGAGCAGAGGAAGCAGAGGTGGCGGTGGGAAGTGCGGTCGGAGAGGTAACAAGGCCCTAGCGGCCAATGTAGGGGTTTTGGATTTTACATCTGAGAAAAATGGGAGCCATTGTAGGCTTTAGAGCAGAGGCTCAGCATAGGCTGACTTGAGTTTTTAAATGAATTGGGCTGGCTGCTGTGTTGAGGTACATTAAAGTGGGCATTCTAGTAAGTGGAAGTAGAGAGACTAGGCAGGCATTCTCCTGGGCTAATGGAATAGCAATGAAAGTGGTGAGCAGTGGTTGAATTCTGGATGTGTTTTGAATGTAGAGTAAACAAGATTTCCTGACACCACTCCCCACACCCTTTAGAAGAGTGGCCTTTCCTATTTTTAGAACAATATGTTTCTTTAGCCAAAGAAGAATTTACAGTAGTCCCCCTTATCCATGGGGAATATCTTCCAAGACCCTCCAGTCGGTGCTTGAAACTTCAGATAGTACTAAACCCTATATTAGTATATTATGTTTTTTCTATACATACATACCTATGATAAAGTTTAATTTATAAATTAAGCACAATAAGAGATGAACAATAATAACTAAATGAAATAGAGCAATTATAACAATATACTGTAATAAAAGTTATACAGGGTGGGGCAAAAGTAGATTTACAGTTATTCATATGGAAAAGAACAATAATTAATAAATACTAAATAAGAATAAACTCTGAGTTTCGAGTACTCACAACAATAAACCTACTTTTGCCCCCACCGTATGAATGATCTCTCTCTCTCTCTCTCTCTCTCTGTCAAAATATCTTATCATACTGTACTCACCCTTCCTCTTCTTGTGATGATGTGATATGATAAAATGCCTAATTAAGTCAAGAACTTTCACCTTTTCACTTAAAGAAAGCACTTTATGGCTTCTCTTTGGCATATCCAAATTGCCAGCATCACTATTCTTGCACTTGGGTCATTATTAAGTAAAATAAGCTGACTTGAACACAACACTGTGATAGCACAACAGTCAATCTGATAACTGACAAATTGACTACTAAGTGACTGACAGGGGGGTAGCATCTACAGCATAGATACACTGGACAAAGTGATGATTCACGTCCTGGGCAGGATGCAGCAGAACAGCGTGAGATTTCATCACGCTACTCAGAATGGCATACAATTTAAAACTTATGAATTGTTTATTTCTGGAATTTTCCATTTAATATTCTCAGTCCACAGTTGGCTGTAACTGAAACTGCAGAAGGCAAAACTGTGGATAGGGAAGGGTGACTACTGTAATCCATTTGACAGGCACTGTTAACATGCTCATCTTCCCTCTGTGTTTGAGCTCTGTAAGGCAGGTGACCCTTTCTGTTTACCCAGACAGTCCTGTAGTACCTTGGACAGTTACCTTAGTTAAAAGGGGATTGCCTTTAAAGTATTTGTTAAACTGGGTAATTTTTATAATTTGCAGCCATCACTGTTTTATATTAGAAATATTATAAAAGTTGAATATGATAACTACTGAAATTTATATTCAGTTGACTGTGAAATATTTGTAACAGTTTTAAATTAAAGCAATTCTATATTTTTTTTCAGCAACCAAGACAGGAAAGAAACGAAGAAAGTGAATTTAATTGGACCATTAACATTGGTAAGCTATGGAATAGTAAATGTGATCATTCTTTCCTTCGTTCAGATTTGGTGTCTTGAATCGATAGTTACTGAGCCAGGACTTTAAGACTGTCTACAGGCAGCGATAGAGTTTCCCTGCTGCACCCGCGCTGTCTTAGGTCGGCTCATTGCAGTCACGGCTCATATTCTCAAGGTGGATGATAAAAGAGGCAGGGGTAGGCTGGCTGTGAAACAGAGCAGAGCTGACTGGTTCACAGGGAAATTTAAAATAGGACTTGTGTTTGCAGCACCAAACAAACTAACCCATTTCAGAAAAAAATATATCTCTGCATGTGTTTCACAAAACCCCACAAATTCAGCTTAAAATAAGATTGCATATAGCGTGATCATTAATCATAGAAAATTTAAAATAAGAAATCTGTGTTCACATTTGGCATCCAAGAAAACATTAAATATAGAGTAACTACTAGGGATTTAGATTATGTGCAACACAATTCTCAGAGGTTTCTGTCGGTACAAGGTAAGACAAGATGTTTTTGGAAAAAGTCTAATCTGTTTTTCATTTGTAATATGTCTCAGAGAGGCAGCCCAAGAAAATGTTTGCCCACTTTTTAAAAAATATATATTTTATTGATTTTTTACAGAGAGGAAGGGAGAAGGATAGACAGTTAGAAACATCAATGAGAGAGAAACATCGATCAGCTGCCTCCTGCACACCTGCTACTGGGGATGTGCCCGCAACCAAGGTACATGCCCTTGACTGGAATCGAACCTGGGACCCTTCAGTCCTCAGGCCGATGCTCTATCCACTGAGCCAAACCGGTTAGGGCTGTTTGCCCACTTTTGATGAATATGTGTTTCATATGATGACAGCCATTACTCGAAAGAAGTTGGTATTAAGTGGCATCAGTTGAATTCCCCACCATAATAAGTAAATGGGTAAAAGACAGCAAAACATCCTAGGTTTCGAGCCTCATTGAAGATTTCCCATGTCACAAAGCCCCTATTCATTCTCTTTCCCTTATTCTCATAATGTTTTTGTCTCGGTAAGAGGTGTTGGTTTTTTTTTTTAATTGAATGCTTTAGAGAATAAATAGTAAAACTAGTTCTGGTTTTAATGCACCAGTTTTAAATCTGCCTCTTACATAAAATACCCCAAACCTTAAAGTAGAAACATGGAAAATTTCATCTGAATTTAAAAGTTAAAATTTAAATTAAGTTTAAATGTAATCTTTTTCAAACTCTGAATAGATATTTTTTGTGTCCTGAAAGAGGTTCAGGACAGAATGCTACTCTTTTTCTTGCCTATTTTTTCTCTCTTTTTTATTTTTCAATGACAGTTGACATACAATATTATATCAGTTTTAGGTATACAACATAGTGATTAGACATTTACAAAACTGTACTATAAAGGAGTTTGCAATGCATTGTTTTGTTGAAAATCATTGACAAATATCTAGGTTTACTTAGGATATTGCTATGAAATTTGTGTCATTTTAAGCTTAAATACAAAACTTTTTATTAAGCAATTTGAGAAGCACTTAAAACATTCTTCAATGTCATATAAATGTCCAGTAAAGGGAATAGTACACCACTACCGATCCTGTGTTTGTAACTGTAGCCCACAGACCCAAGTGCTCTGTCTCCCTCCCCAGGAGCCACTAAATTGAACCTCGGGGACACAGTTCCCCTTTGTAGCAATTACAGGGACCCTTCTCCATTTGCTCTTGACTTTACCTCCTCCCCTTGTTTCGCCCCAAGCTCCACCTGGCTCTGACCCTTTGCCTCTGTTGGCACTCTGGCGTGCCTGTGTGTTTGATGATGGAATTTGGCCTTCCCATACGGAACTTTGGGAACTCTCTGAGAACAGTTTGCACACATTCCCCCTCCCCACCATGTGTGTCTGACCTCAGCCTGCCCGTCATATTGGCCCTGTCTGACCCAACTTTCGCTCTCAAGGACCCCATGCTGCCAAGTCTGACTCATCACCCATTCTCCCAATGACCGTTCCTTGTCCCCAAAAGGGGGATAGGTGGGGTGAGGAAAATGGGTAGAAGGAAAATATTAAAAAGGGGGGAGAGATGCAAGGGACAGAGGGAAGATATAGAAGTGGAAAATTAAGAGAATGAAGATGCAGTCTGGAAGGCAGCAGAGGAAAGAAGAATAAAGAAAGAGCCATAGAACCATTGATCTAAAATGCGGAAAGTGAGAAACTGGAGAGGACTAAAAAGACAGTGAGGGAAGAGTCTTTGGAGCATTGTGACACTGATCAGCTGCTTGGTTCTTGGGTGTTGTGCACTCCACTGTGTCCCCCTCTAAGTGATAGTACTAAGTACATTGTACATGGGTAGTACTAAGACCAAGGTCCTTGGTGTGGCCCACGGCCTTTCTCCCTCTCTCTAATGTCATCTCCCACACTTGGCACTGAGCACTTCATGCAGTTTCTAGTCACCTCGGTGTTCTAAGCCTCTTGCATCACTACTCTTGCACTTGGGGCCATTATTAAGTCAAATAAGCTGACTTGAACACATTGAGAATTTTACATAACTATTACAAATGTGCTGACCTTAAATAAAAATCCAAAGAACATGTAATTGTGGAAAAGGGAAAGTCTGTCCCACAAGGTAAAATAAGTATTATTTTATTTCCTTTTTTTAGTTTCGATACTCCGATTGGCAGGATAAATTATTTATGTCCCTGGGCACAATCATGGCCATAGCTCACGGATCAGGTCTCCCCCTCATGATGATAGTATTTGGAGAAATGACCGACAGATTTGTTATTACTGCAGGAAACTTCTCCTTTCCAGGTAAGCATTTCTCTACTTTTTTTTTTTTAATTCACAGTACTCCTTTAAGTACATGAAGGATTAGAAATAGATTTTGTTCTTCACTGTGTACTTGTGTAATGATTTAGCCATCTGGGTGACTTTAGATATTATGGAAGTTGTAAAATTCTCAGAAAATTCCTCAAATAGTCATTTAAATTTTAAGAAATAGGTGTTTGCTGTTTGAAAGGATGAGGAAATATACAGAATGCTTTGCCTCTAAATAAAGTCAGGCTGTCGCTCTATTTTAGGACGGGGGAACTGTAACAGTATCCATCCCATTAGTGATCCCTGGTGAATTTCAGAATACACCAGTTAGCCGGCAGTGCTTCCTAGCTGTGCTCAGCTTGTAGATATGTTTCTGCTTTTCTTTTTTCTCTTCCCCACCCTTTTTGTTAAAATTATAGCCATTTTTTGTGATTAAATTTAGATCAACCAGGTTGGTTAGAACTTGATGTAGCACTTGACTAAAGGGTGAATGGATTCAATAGGAGAATGATGCAGACACACCAAAAGGACTATCATTACTGAAGGGCCGGAGGAGTCCCACAAGTTAATGTCATCTAAAGAGAGGCTGTGGCAACAGCATGGGCGTGAGGTTCCAATGGACAGAGCTATTTTTCATATTAGTCAAATTCCACATAGAAAGGAAGAGTTCCATGCTTTGTACCAATCCCTAAGACTTCATTCCTCCGTGTGAGCATTAGACTGAAGAAGACTGAATGGAACTTTATTGGTACACAGATGGTAGAATATAAAGACAAAATACCGATAAAGGAAAGGTAGCTTTCATAGCAAAGAACCTAAGAAAAAGTGGACCCCCATCATTTAGAGAATATTCGGTAAGAGTTTTCAGGGTTCACTGACTGAGCACTATAATATTTCGTTAGCACTGTAGAATGCAAGTGTGAATACCTAAGAGAGGGCCTATTTACATAAATAGTGATAAACATTAATGCCTTTTAGAAAGTAAAAGCATCCTTTGAATTTTAAGGAAAGCTCCTACAAAACCAGTGTGTGTTGTTTTTTTATTCTTAAGTACGCTGCCCCTGAGAAGACCCTCTTTATAATAAAAATAACCACAGTAATAGCAATCTTTTATTGTATTTTTTATCTGCTAGGTCCTGTTTCACTTAACCCTCACAAGAACAGTCCTACGCAGTGGGTAATATTATCCTCTGTGACAGATGAGGCTAGGAGAGGATAAATAACTTGTCCAAAGTTACTTAGTTGGTGAGCATGAGGACAGAATTCAAATCCAGGTCTCTCTGCCATCCAAACCATGCTCATCATGACCAACCATGTAAATACAGTACACTGCCAGATGTGAATAATTTTGCTTTCTCTTTTAAAAAGAAACGTGTTTGAGAAAGTTAAATGGATTACCTATGTTTAACCAGTGACCAGAATTTTAACATAAATACCAGAAAGGTAAATATGGAATTAATTTAGGATAGTTTAAAAAATATTTAAGTGAATGAGGGGTAGGAGTTTTCTATTGACTTTTTAGAAATTCTATAGACCTGTTATGCTTGATTATGTAGATGTATAAAGCAGGATGATGTCCACATTCAGGCAAATTAATCCAAAATTGGTTTCAATTCAGGGTTTAAAAAATTCACATTAATAGATGAATGGCTAAACAAAATGTGGTATCCCAGACAATGGAATAATAGCCTTAAAAAGGAAGGGAATTCCAAAACATGCTACAACATGAATAAACCTGGAGGACATTATGCTAAGTGAAATAAGCCAGTAACAAAAGTACAAATACTGTATGATTTCACTTATATGAGGTATACAGAGTAGTCAAGTTCATTGAAACAAAAAGTAGAATAGTGGTTACCAGGCACTGGAGGGAGGTGGGAATGAGGAGTTGTTGTTTAATGCATTGAGTTGCATTTTGGAACATAAAAAGTTCTGGAGATTGGTTATACAACTGTGTGAATATGCTAAACACTATTGACCTGTACACTTAAAGCTGGTTAAGATGGTTAATTTTATCACAAATAAACTTTTTAAAAAATCAAATTAAAACAATGCAACACATTCATCACAGATAAGTTAGCATTTGTGCTGATTTTATTAGTCTTGTTTTTAGAATACCACAATACTCCTACAACTTTCTTATTTGGAGCAGTTTGCTTGTGTTTTTTTACTTGTTTCTAATTATGCAACTGAATTGCTTTGAAGCTGAACATGGCAGACAGGTGGCCCGTGCTGTGCCCAGGACCAAATTCAAGGTCTCTCTGGGGAATGGCACAAGCAAGTCGCTTACAGACCTGTGACTGCTGGAGTGCTAAATCAGCAGAGTTGCCAACTTATGTTCAGTAGCCTCCAAATGCTGTGACCCTTGGTCTTCCACAGCCACGTTTGTCACTAGGCCTATTGGCTGTCTTAGGGGACTTGGAAGGGGAAGTTCCTCCAATGTTTCTAATTTCAATGTCCACTCTTTGGTAGTTTGTGAAGATAATATTCTCATATCTCTTTGGAGAGAACAAAACCTTTACATTTCATACTCACTCTAGATCCAGAGAGATCATTGATATGTTTAGAGTTGTCGAGTTTAGCACCCATCGTGAAAGTTGGGAGAAGATAGAGTACTTAGCTGAGCTCCCTAGCTTATCTCATAGAGATCATGTTTATTTAGAGTCCATTCTTTAGAATTGTTGGATTCTTGGACACATAAATGGGAAGGGAATGTTAGAAGAAAAAAACAGTTTAAATTACAAGAGGGTCTGACAATGATTTATTGTAAGCAGAACCCGTCCCTGTCAACAGAATAAAGTCACTCTGTGACAAAGTCGTTCCCTCACAATGACTCAGTTGTGCAGAAACTATGCATAAAACATTCTGCATCCAAAACCTTAAGGACAGATTCGTAAGAAACAGTTTTTCTGCAGAGTATCAAGAACTTGATATATTTTATGCCAAGTCTATGTGACTGTAATAATCTAGGATAGTCTGTGGGGAAATCGATATGTTCTGCATGTCCTTGCATTGCCCTCGGTTTAAGAGGAAAATGCAGCCCTGGCTGGTTTGGCTCAGTGGATAGAGCATCAGCCTGTGGACTGAAGTGTCCTGGGTTCGATTCCGGTCAGGGGCACATGCCCAGGTTTCGGGCTCGATCCCCAGTAGAGGGGGCATGCAGGAGGTGGCCAATCGATGATTCTCTCTCATCATTGATGATTCTATCTCTACTTCCCCCTTCCTCTCTAAAATCAATTAAAAATATATTTTTTAAAAAGAGGCAAATTCATTTTGAGCCCCTTGTTACCTTAACTAACTACGTATGCTGCTAAGCTACCAGGACAAACACCATCTCTTTGTTTTGTGCTGAATATTTCTATATGGTAAAAGAAATTTTAGGCAGAATTGAAGAAGACAGACATTGATTTACTTTGAGACTCAAAAGTGACAGTCAGGACTCCCTATGCAATGTCTCCTTAAGTAATCCTTAAAGTATATAGTTATTACTTAGGCCCTTCACTCACCAGCTGCATGACTTGGGAAAGTTACTTAACCTCTATAGTTCTCATCTTTGAAGGTAATCATAGAATTAAATGAGATGTTTTATGTAAAGAGTTAAATGAGATGGTTTATGTAAAGTGCCTGGAACATAGTAAATGATCAATTAATATTGGGGAAAACTAGCTGTGGGAACTTGGAAATGAAATAACTACTCTAAAATTCTGTTTATTCATCTATAAAATGGATGAATGCTCTAGGAGCTCTCAAAAATGAATAGGCAGCTTCAATGAATTCCCCATTCCCTTGTCATGGGAGGCATTCAGGAAGATGAGAGTGAGAGTTCTCCATGTGGACGCATTAGAATCCAGTGGAGGTAGTTTTAGGAATATGATCTCTAGACTTAGTCACAGGTTCTGATTTATGGTGTTTGGTGGTGCCTGGACATCTGTAATTTTTCAAGCTCCCCATGTCATTTTAACAGGCAGATAGTGTTAAGAACTCCCAAACCAGATACCTATTTGGAGATTGTTTATGAGACAGAAGCATAACAGGTAACATCTGAGAGAACAGTTCTATGCCCTGTCCAGATCTAGAATCTCAGGAGATTTCTAGATCTAGAACACCAGATCTGGAACTGGTAATTCCAGTTCTGGCCTGGGACTCGAGAAAGAAGCAAGTCAAATTTGGAATGCCCATAAATTCCTATTTCCTAGGAGGGAGGATCAATTTCAATTATAATATCCTCATTGAGAGATTTTAAAAGTTTGAGATAGGTGTTGGAGGAGAGTAAAACTCATTTAAGATTTCTAAGTTCAAGGAAAAAATTAGCCCTGTATACAGCCCTAGCTGGTTTGGTTCAGTGGATAGTCCGTTGGCCTGTAGACTGAAGGGGCCCAGGTTCAATTCTGGTCAAGGGCACATGCCTGGGTTGCAGGCTCAATCCCCAGTAGGGGGTGTGCAGGAGGCAGCCAACCAATGATTCTCTTTCATTGATGTTTCTATCTCTCCCTCTCCCTTCCTCTCTGAAATCAATAAAAATATATTTTAAAAATTTAGCCCTGTATACATATACCTGGAGGTTTCCCAAGGTTTTGCACAATGATTTTACAAGTACCACAGCACAGCTTTAGGATAGCTTGTCTACCTCTAATTCCAAACACAGCTCCAATTTGGCATATCAAAGGTACATATTTAAGAACTCAGAAGGAAATGAACACATAGAACTGAACTGATAAGAATGGGAGTAAAATAGGGCATGTTTCCTCCAGGATCTGATAGCTGAGGGAGAGCTAGAGTAATAAGCACTTTACTGTGAACATCAGTAGAATTTATAATCTTGAGGGGAAAAATTATGCCTGGTAATTGATCCTTAGAGTAGTTTGAGTTTTAAATAAATTTCAACCTTATCTCCCTTTGGAAGAAGATAAGGAGGATACACAGAACCCAGAAAACATGACCTCTGGGTTATTTACACATGATAAAAGAACAAAGATTAACTAGTTTCTCTCCTAGCATCATGGGAGATGGGAAATATCTACCCTGGTATGTTTTTTCACCAATACCATAGTGATGATACTTTATCCTATTATTCTGTGGATGCAATAGATATGGGCTGTTTCCTCCCCCCACCCCCCACTTTGTGTTTTTTTAAAAGTGAAAATAAGTGATTACCACATGAATCAATCAGCATAGTATAGTGTTAGGAGCTGTACAGTACACTGTTCGAACTCTCAGCCTTTTGCTGGCTGTGTGACTTTGGGTAAGTTGCTTTATCTCTCTGTGCCTCAATTTCCTCACCTGTACCATGGGGATTTCTACAACAGTCCTACCTCAGAGGGTTGTTGTGAAAATTAAGTGAATTAATATATGTAAACTCTTTTCAATAAATGCTAGCTATAATGAAAACCAGGACAGCACACTGACATTTTTATCAAATTAGCTCAAATTAATGGATAATATATTTCCTTCTAATTAATACTGCTTTAAAAATACCAGAATACAGTTTTGCTAGTAAGCAAGACATGGAACGCAGGATAATGACTCATTGCCAACGATCATTAAGATCTTGTCTTGAGGTTTTCTTCCTTTACAATGCAAGCAATTCAGCCTTTCTATTACTTAGGTCATGAGGAAGCATGTCAGGGAAAACACACATATATTAAAATAAAATTTACAGGAGCAAGTATCTGTCAAGTCCTTTGAGCCATTTAGAAAAGAGGGCCCCTTAAATCCTGTATTTTCTGTTTGGACCGTTTCTTTTTTCCTCCTCTGCCTTCTGAGGCTTCTCTACTGCCTTAGGAAGCTGCTTTGCTGAAGGCCCCTCTACTGCCTTCAGAAGCTGCTTTGCTGAAGGCCGCAGACCCGTAGGATGGGGGAAGAACCTGGGAGGGCTTATCTTCCCTATCTGGAGCCTCCATGTCCTGCACCTAAACCCTTGGGTTGTTTCCTTGAGTAAAGTGAAGAGAAAAGAGTTTTAAAACCCAGCAATATCTATTAATAGTTCAACCTTTCAAAAATGTCTCATTTTTGTTTCATTTTGTTTTTATTTAGTGAATTTTACATTGTCAATGTTAAATCCAGGCAGAATTCTGGAAGAAGAAATGACTAGGTAATTGGCTAATATATATATATACTCTTTATCTTTTGTTATACTCTTTAACCTATTATTATAATTTATACCACCCCCAACCCCACCATTTGAAGTAAGTTGCATACATCATGCCCTTCACTAATAAATACTTCAGTGTGGATCTTAAGAATAGGATATTTTCTTCATAACCATAGTACGGTTATCAACTTCAGTAAATTTAATATTGATATTCTACTTTGATCTAATCTACCACCTGCATTCCAATTTTGTTAGCTGATCCAATAATGTCATTTATGGCATTTCCCCCCTATTTTAGCCTTCTTAGTGGAAATCTCAAAAGCCTGTAACATAATGTTTGTGTGTTTAACATATCAATTAAAGTTGCTGATATAAATGAGTACTATCTGTATGTGATAGCAGGCCTGAAAGGCTCTATCTGGAAGATGTTTGTAAAATTGTATAAAAAGTGTACTTGAAATTATTCAAACTGAATTTATTATTTTTAAAGATACTAACTTTCGCCCTAGCTGGTTTGGCTCAGTGGATAGAGTGTCAGCCTGTGGACTGAAGGGTCCTGTGTTCAATTCTGGTCAAGGGCACATGCCCGGGTTGTGGGCTCAATCCCCAGTAGGGGGGGTGCAGGAGGCAGCCTATCAATGATTCTCTCTCATCATTGATGTTTCCATCTCTCTCTCCCTTTCCCTTCCTCTCTGAAATCAATAAGACTATATTATAAAATAAAAGATACTAACTTTCCTCTAATTTAGTTAAGCCCTCACTCCAAATTAATATAAAATTTTAGCACACTATTAAATACCCCCCCCCAAATTCTGCCAAATAAAAAGAGGGTTTTCTTGTTTCTTTGTGTGAACAATATGAGAAAACTTAACTAAGAAATATTTAACATGGTCAATCTGTTTATTCCTTCATTTGCAATATGTTGAACAGTAGTGAACTTTTTCAGTACAAGATATGCGAGTCTAGAATATTAATTGTAAAAAAAGAATCAAATTGTATCTATAAATTATCAATATCAGTTTTAAAATGATTCATTAACACCACTATTTTTTGCAGTTAGCCAAAAAAATTTATCTGGTTTCTTTGGCTGATAATTCAAGTAAATCAGTTTGCCTTCGTCTTCTTATAATCTAAGAAAAGAAAAAGAAACTTTAATGTGTATTTGTTTTAATGGCCTACATAATTTTATTTATTCCCAATTCTGAAGATTACTCCTGAAAGAGATGAATAAAGAACAGTATATAAAAGAAACTTTCTAATTATTTTCCAGATATGCATATTATTACTCAGGACTAGGTGCTGCAGTTCTCATTGCTGCCTATATACAAGTTTCATTTTGGACTTTGGCAGCCGGCCGACAGATTAGGAAAATTAGGAAAGAGTTTTTTCATGCTGTTCTCCGACAAGAAATAGGCTGGTTCGACATCAACGACACCACTGAACTCAATACACGGCTAACAGAGTAAGTGTATAGTTAATGTTATACTTGTGTGAAGAGATTAACCACTAACTGTGAACATTTGTCATGGGAGGATTTTTAAATGGAAAAAGTACTAGGTTAAGTATCTGATATAACACCAAGAACAGATAGATGATCTGACAGCGATTTCCAGCACTGACAGCCTATGCCACAGCATATTTTCTTTATCTGTTAGTTTTTCTCCTTAGTTGTAGAGTAAGTTTATTTGAGGACTGAGCTCACATCCTGTATACTTGTTTATCTCTCATGGAGCTTACCACACGGCCTGGCAGACGTTACATACTCAATTAAGATGGTTGAATGAATGAATTCATGATTGAATGAATTCACAAAGACGCTCTTCTTAGTAATTGCTGATTCTTGACTTACTCATCAATTTGAGGGCCTACTATGTGCCAAACACGAGGTATTTGTGATATACCCGTGACCCAAAGACCTCTGCCATCTTATTGCTTACATTCCAGTAGGGGGAGATAGATGACAAACTTTTCTTACTGGAGGTCCTGGGGAGAGTGGAGTGAGAAAATGAGGTCAAAAAGGAGTGAAGGTCAAGGCATTTGGGACCTGGTTGGCCTCAGTAAGGACTTCATCGTTCACTCTGAGTGAAATGGGCAGCGATGGCGCATGTTTTGATCTGAGGAGTAGCTTGTTCAGACTTCCAGTTTCAAAGGATCACACTGGCTGCCGTTTTGAGGATCGAGTGGATGGAAAACAGGGCCAACGGTAGAAGGAAGGAGCACTTCCCTATTATCATAATGCTCTTCCTAACTTCTGCTTTTAGTCAGATTGGCTCATCTTCAGAATGTTAATGCTCCTTGTATAGGATTTATGAGTTTAATAGCATCCACTTTAATGATATTAATGTCTGAGAAGCATGAACTAATCCTGAATTTCTTCCTTTGTACAGTATTTAGGTGGGGAAAGTATCATTCGAGAGGCTAAGACTCTGAAAGAGGCTTGCAGTGTCTGAACAAGTCTGACCTGTCTGTGTCTGTTAGATGTCTGCTTCACCTCTCTAACTGAAGACCTCCTGCCTGTAACCACTTAGGTGTGATCTTTTTTAGTGACATCTCCAAAATCAGTGAAGGAATTGGTGACAAGGTTGGAATGTTCTTTCAAGCAATAGCCACGTTTTTTGCAGGATTCATAGTGGGGTTCATGAGAGGATGGAAGCTCACCCTTGTGATAATGGCCATCAGCCCTATCCTGGGACTCTCTGCAGCTGTTTGGGCAAAGGTACGTGAAACGGGGGCTTTTTCACGTGTGTGAACCCACACCTGCAGTTATTTGAAAGATGTGGGATCCCAGTGCTTGTAATTGTGCAAATCGGTGTTAAATGTCGGTCGAAACCACATTTCGAAGCATGTTGTTAATCTGGTGCTTTACTAAGAAAATTTATTTCAAATGTGATTCAAAATGTCACCGTTTTTACTTCAGTTACAGATTTTTTACACTGCTGTTATTTCTTTGTTAAATTTTCTGGCACAATATCTTAAATTACATGTAAGGTTTGTGTCCTTATTTGAGGAAACACAATTTTAAAATATAACATACCTCTGAACTATTCTGTGAATATAAAAAATTTAAATAAAGTTTGGATTGATTGATTTTTAATTGAGTGGCACTCTGCCACATTTGCCTTACAGTAAAATACACATAACCCGTTCTACTTCAGCCACAGGTGAGAAATTTTACCGGCATTTTTTGCTCACTCTGGAATTGATCATTTACTTAACACATTGTGGACCAGTAGTTTTATTGCTAGCTTTACCCAGTGGCCAGATAAGTTTCTATTGAACGAGTACAAAAAACGCTTTACATAAATGTTAAAGGCACGCTTTAAAATTAAATACCGCCGTAACCGGTTTGGCTCAGTGGATAGAGCATCGGCCTGCGGACCGAACGGTCCCAGGTTCGATTCCGGTCAAGGGCATGTACCTTGGTTGCGGGCACATCCCCAGTAGGAGGTGTGCAGGAGGCGGCTGATCGATGTTTCTCTCTCATCGATGTTTCTAACTCTCTATCTCTCTCCCTTCCTCTCTGTAAAAAATCAATAAAATATATATTTAAAAATAAAAATAAATAAAAAATTAAATTAAATACCCATTGCATTTTGAAGTTATTTATTACATGTTCTTACAAACTAACATCTTTTTAAAGTATGATACTTTGTAAAACACTGTGTAATATGAAGTGGAACTGAACAAAGCTGGCAAATTCTCGTGATCCGTCCACAATGTGTTAATAAACTACTGGTATCTATTTTGTTTTTATTCTTTCCTTTATCTTTCTCCCACAATATCTTGTTAGCCATCTTATTATTCAGTAGAATGCCCAGAAGTACATCTGGAAATATCCTTTATAGTCATTAAAAATCATGGCAAAATTAAGGAAAGGATGGGCAATCCTTTCAAAGCAGTAAAGTTTTATTTTCATTTATTTTGCAATCAACAGAGAAAAAAACCGTAGATGTGGAACTTGAACTGTTTCCAAAAACGCGTGCTAGAGAGTAACATGTGAACTTCCTTTTCCTGATGCTCTTGGGGAGCATGTCACGAGGGTGGGTCTGAGTGGCCTGTGTAGAGTGGAGGAAGCCCCTGCTGGCGCACTGAGTGCCGTTTGCTTCATGACTTCCGTGTTTAGTAGAGGATAGGGTTGGGGGAGAAAGAGTAACTTTAAGGGTTGGCCTTTTAACGTCCCTCCCATACAAAAGTCATGAATGTTTCTCTCCTGTCCAGATACTCTCGGCATTTAGTGACAAAGAACTAGCCGCATATGCGAAAGCAGGCGCTGTGGCAGAAGAGGCTCTGGGCGCCATCCGGACTGTGATAGCCTTTGGGGGCCAGAACAAAGAGCTGGAAAGGTCAGGAAGGTTCTTTGCACACTTGCACATTTTGTTGTTCATTCTTTTGTGGAATGTGTTCACCACTTTCCTTTTCCTCATATTAAAACTCCCCCACAGTAGACAGGAACCTTCACTAATGGCTCGAGTTTAACGTCAGATTCTAAAACAGGGTTCTGACCCTCTATGTCCCATGGACTCCTTGGGCAGTCTGATGAAGCCCATGGACTCCCTCCTTAAAATAATGGTTTCAAATGCATAAAACAAAATAGGATTACAAGGGAAACCAATTATATTGAAGTTCAATTATCAAAATATTTTTAAATTGTAATCTAATAAATATGTCTCTTTTGTTAACATATATATATACACAAATATAAATATAAAAGGCTAAGTGACCGACCATACGTCTCTCTGACCATCTAACCCACCAACCAGTACATATGACACGCACTAGGAATTTAAAAATAAACATTGACTCGTGCATGCGCGATACATATAAAGCTCTCGCTGGTGCCAATTGCATGCGTGTGTTTCAATCTGTCATTGTCGATCATGAATTTGGTTGTTTTTGTTGACATTCAACGTGAACCGCATCGTGATTTATTCATTGACTGTCCGACCTACTGACCGGCCGATACATATGACGTGCACTGGCAATTTAAAAATAAACGTTGACTCGCAGTATATGTACTCTCAATACATATAAAGCTCTCGCTGGCACCAATCACACACGTGTTTTAATTTTATAATACTATATTATATATACTATTTTGACATGTAATTTTTTGCGGTAACATAATTACTGCACAAATCTTTCTTCTAATTAATTTCTTTAAATGTGCACAGATTCGTGCACTGGGCCACTAGTTAAATAATAAGAGCTAACCATTGGTCTGACAGGTACTCTAGTTCTGAAGTCGGGGTGTGAGTAAAATATATTTAAAGATATTTGTAGCAATTGTAACATGATAGGAAAATGATCTGGGATTTCTATTGGCAACAGAGTCACAGTTACTGCTCATACTACCGTGGTTTGTTGCCGGCATTGATCATGAAAGGAAATGCTAAATTTCAGTTAGAGGTTAATGAAAATAAATATGTAATTTTTTTCCCCATTCAAGTTCCTTGACCTTGGATCCCAGGTCAACTATCTCTGCTCTAAAGGAACTTGATATATAAAAAATCTAAATGTCAGAACAAAGCCCACTGATGAAGGGTACTCCCTCCACCAGTTTTCTCTAAATAATAACACCCCCTAATATAGCCAAAGCATAATTTTGTGTAAAGCATTTTCTTTTGCTGTTCTGTGGAACTCCTGATACCCACAACTCTGAAATAGAAACTCCTGGAAATTCTCCAGCATTAAAAGCCAAGTTTCCCTAATTTCCTCCATTTCCTTTTCTATTTTTCTATTCCTTAAGCCCTCTTCAAAACCACCACGTTCCTGGTTCTCTAACCTCTCCCTTTTTCTCTCTTACTGCTGCTTCCTGTACACAATAGCTCACACAGACCACACTAACCCTCAGTTGGACATCAGGATGTGAATGTAATCAGTGCCGCTCCATTAGCTGCAGTAAGCAAGCCGCCTAAGCGAAGGTAACTACAGCATGTCCACCACTGTCACCGGAGCTTTGTGTCACATTGGGGCCGATATAAATCTCCCTGCACATGGCTGGCTCAGGGCCCAGCCCAGGACTGGACCTGGCCTTCTGGCTGTCTCCCCGGGGACACAGCTCTGCTAAGTGAGTGCAGCGCCCAACACAGAAAAATACACTAAAGAGTTGAGTGCTTCAAGTAATTAAAAGGACAAACACTTTTTGGTGGCAGTATGCATTCTTTGCAAACTATTAAGTTTTCAACATCTCATTGGGTTAAACTAAAAAAATATACGATGTTTGTTTTTTGTTAGAAACAGAAACACCCTGCTTTATATTTTTTCCCCCAAAGTCTCATTATATATTCATTGAATTTTTTTCTGAAGTTAGGGAGCCAAAATAAACATTTTTATACTCTCTGTGTCTAGCATGGAAAGGTAGATTTAATTTAAATTGATGTAAAAAATAACAACATTGCAATTTAATAGAACCATTCTAGATACTTGTGCCTTTGTATCAAATCATAGAAGCCAGTAGTTATGAATTTTAATTACTATTCAGAAATATGATAATAATAGAATGGGCAATATTCAGAAAGAGATTACATTTGAGAACAGCAGTGATAGTAATGGTGGGAATAGGAAATGTCAGGTTTTGCCAACTTTGCACCAGCCCTGTACTAACTACTCTCTGTAACTTGTGTCAGCCTCAGAATTACCTGGAAGGTAGGCATTATTTGCTTCATTTTACAAATGATGAGACAAAAATCTAAAAAAATTGAGTAAGAACCCAAATCCCACAAGTAGTGACCACTTTATAACTGTGTACCCTGGCTTGACAGTTGAAGGTCAATTGATCAAAAAACAAAACAATAACAAGAAAGCAAAGGCCTAAGTATAAGAACATGTAAAATTCCTGCCCCTCACCCAGTGGGGCAACAAGGGAAGGATTTTCTTTTCTCTAGAGAGGAGAAATTAAACTGTGTTAAGAATCTAACTATTTTAAGAGTCCTGAATAGTATTTACATTTTGGTGTCATTCTTGGTTGGCTTGGTTTCTCTCCTTCCTCCTTAACCTTGACTTGTGATGCTGGCCATGGAGGGGGTGATGAAGCTCTTCCATATCCCAGGGATGAGAGCTCAGTTCTGGAATGGCTACAGGAACATTGGTTGGACTGGTGAGGTCCAAGGGAGAGGGGTCCGGGCCAGTGAAGAGAAGGCTCAGATAGGTTCTAGCCTTCTCAAGCCCTATCTGGCTGATCCTGAGTTGGTTCAGTTTCCAGGAAGCTGGGTCCCCCAAGGGATTTCTTACTTTGATGGCTTTGTTTCTTAAACCTCCAACTATACAGGAGGTGAATATGGCTCAGATTATGGATTGCTTACTTATTATAACGTTTTCCCCTAATTTTCTGGTAGGTATCAGAAACATCTAGAAGTTGCCAAAAAGATTGGAATTAAAAAAGCTATTTCAGCAAACATTTCCATGGGCATTGCCTTCCTGTTAATATATGCATCATATGCGCTGGCCTTCTGGTATGGATCCACTCTGGTCATATCAAAAGAATATACTCTGGGAAATGCAATGACAGTAAGTATTTTTCCTAATATTTATGAAGAATCTAAAAATATTATTTATCCATCTTCCTTGTCTTTACTTTCATATTCCTCCTTTTTGAAAGATGAGCCATGATTATAGGCTTTTTTCTTTTGGTGAATCTTTGCTCTGTCCTGTGGGCAGAGTTGGCCTAGACTACACAAGGCATAGTTATGAGTAGGGGCAAGAAAATAGCATGTAGTAAGAAACATATACAATATGTAAAGGAAATAAAAATTGAATGACTTTGTGAATAGACAAATATGGATTGGAGCCATCCTCATTCTGCCCTTGATTTCCATTATATAAGAAAGTAAACATTACATGGTGATGGAATGTTAAACTTATATATCATAAAACATCAGCTATCTGAAATGGGAGATGAAAAGTTATTTTAGTTTCCTTTTCTTTTTCAAAATGAAGATAGCTTTATTTTAAGATTATAAAAATAATATATTCTAGTGATTAAAAGGATTAGAATTTTAAAAAACAGGAATTACTTATAATTAGAATTACTCATAATCTAATAATATACATTTAATGAGAACTTTTGGCATATATCTTCCAAGTGTATATATTTTCTATATATACACATATTTTTTTTCTTTTAAAACTGGGATTGTATTATATCATTCTGTAATCTTTTTTTACAAACTAGAAATAATTTTATGACCATCTTTCCATGTCAGTGACAGAACAACATGTACCATTCAAACAGTGATCTTTTAAAACCCGAACTTCCCTATATTTTCAAACAAAGGATACTGAACACAGTTTGTCCCTCTGCTGATGACTTCGGGCCATTATGAAAATTGATCACTTCAAGTTGTTTCTAGAGTGGTATCTTCAGACTACACTGAGGTGTGGAGGGCTAATTGGCTGGATGAGCATTCATAATTGCTGTGCCTTTTCTTTTTTCTCTCATTTTGATCTTCTCTCTGATTGTTAGCTTAGAAGCTCTCCACCATTCTTCAGTTCCTTGCTTGCTAAATTTTATGAAGAAAGGAGACTGAATCCTGACTTTGCTATTCACCTTTTGTGCGGAGTGTGTCCTCTCTGGCCTTGTCTCCTCCTTGGTAGTACGTGGACAACAACAGCTCCCTCATGGGGCTGGAGGGTGATATCCGCCCACAGTGCAGGGAGCCAGCAACACCCTCTGGGTAAAGGGCTCTCGTGCATTAACTTTATAACATCTATTTTGGTAGAGACTTTTTGCTTTCCTACTGGCCCTTACCTTGTTGCAGACAGTGGAGAGATAATGAGGGATATTTGAGTTCTGGCTATGTGAAGTGTCATTGTTCCTGTCTTCTGGGAAAAGCCAAACTATGTGTATAAGTTTCACCATGCCCAGAGAGAAAGAAGTAATTTCTCTTCATTTATGTTTTCCTCAGTTGAGTTATGCTAATAATTTGGATTCCTGAAGCTATATTTTTGGCTTTTCTATATCAATTTATTTTTCTAGTTAAAAAAATATAAAGGAAAACATGTTAAGTTTTGTGTGGTATAGTACAGAATGATTATACAAAGGAATTATTAATCAGTGCACACAGATGTGATTGTGTTTTATAATGTGTGAACTAATTCTTATATTGAAATCTTATTAAAATATGTATGTAAAATGGTACTTTTTAAGGAAAATTCCTTGGGGCCCAAACCTACCATGTTTCATCCTTTTTAAAAATATATATTTTTATTGATTTCAGGGAGGGAGGAGAGCCAGAGAAAGAAACATCCATGATGAGAGAGAACCATCGATTGGTTGCCTCCCGCCCTGGGGATTGAGCCTGCAACCCGGGCATGTGCCCTGACTGGGAACCAAACCATGACCTCCTGGTTCATAGGCCGACGCTCAACCACTGAGCCACCCATTCAGGCCCATGTTTCCTCTTGAACATTCTGTATATCATATAAATATATAGTTAGAGAAAATGATAATAATAATAGCGATGGAAAATGCTTCCCTGTGGTGGTATTCGCTTCAGAATCAAGGCAGTAGGTTTGAAAAATCTTTCTGACTGTGTATGAGGTCAGGAGAGGAGCAATAGATAGTTTCCCAAGCTAGACAAATATTTTTGAGGTTGAAGAAATCCATTTGTGCAATGAAATGTTGTAAGTTTTGCTCTTTTGCTGAAACAATTTTAAAGGATAAACCTAAACTCAACTCTTTGTATTGTGTATTTCACACAAATCATGTTTGAGATCCTGGACCCCAGAATAGGGCTTATAACTCTTTCTCACGTTCTTTTGTTCAGGTCTTTTTTTCAATTCTGATCGGAGCTTTCAGCGTTGGACAGGCTGCTCCTTGTATTGATGCTTTTGCCAATGCAAGAGGAGCAGCATATGTGATCTTTGATATTATAGATAAGGTGAGTCAATTATTGTGATGCTGAAAAGTTCCTTGAGGCTTGGGTAATTAAGTCTGGCTTTAGGTTAAATGTCATGTGAACATTAATTATGTGAAATTAACAACCTCTTTTTAGTAATGAATGAAGCAAATGCCTCATTAATATTTCTAAAAGTTTATCTTTAATATAATAACCCTAATCTCGTTTTGGAAAGGTACGTCTGCACTTGTGTAATTATTAGAGTTCAGAGCAAAGATGTTTGTCTTCCTAGTTTTTTTCCCTTTTCTCTTTCACTTTGTGGCCAGACTAAGAATAATATGATTTCTATACAGGGTGGAAAAATTATTGGTGGAGCCAAAATTGACAGTATGTTTTACTGGGTTGCACCCTTCAAAAAAAAATGATCACTGCATGTTTGATATCATTTTGAATTAACTATGTTGATTGAATAAGTTGTACTGATTGCAATGGAATAAAGAAAATAGTTTTGAATATTAAAATGTCACTGTTTATACACAGATAAACCGCAAAAAGGATAACTGAAATTTGATCATTTAATCTAAGCAATTCCTCCTGTTTCATTGATCGAAGTCATGAGAAAATTGTTCAGCTTCCAAATTTATTGAATGTTTACATTGGCCCTAAATAACTTGCTTTAACCAGTTGTTTAGTCAGTCTTCTTAACCCAATCCATTACATTTACTATTTAGGAATAAACTAATTTTCACTAAATGATGCTATACCTATAATAGTATGTTTTGTTGTATAAACATGAAAATCTGACCACTTAGAAATTTTATAAGGGTATGCCAAAATCTTAAAGTGAAATATTGTACAAAATAAAACGAGTATGTCACTATGATCTTTTAAGGAAATGCTTGTTTTCTGAGAATGAACATTTCCTTAAACACACACACAATCTCTACTTAGGGTTCTATCGTATGGGAGGGAGAATGTGCCATTCCAGGTATTATTTTTGAAATTTGCTGAATCATATTCCTTAAAAATGCAATTGTTTATTGTATGATAGAATAGTCATTGAATTTTGTTTTATTTAGAATCCTAAAATTGACAGTTTTTCAGAGAGAGGACACAAACCAGACAACATCAAAGGGAATTTGGAGTTCAATGATGTTCATTTTTCTTATCCAGCTCGAGCTAATGTCAAGGTACTGTAAATGGTATCTATAGGAATTCCTAACACAGGTTGAATGTTTAATCATCTTAAAGAATCTAAAGCCTCTAATCTTTTGATATTTATGTGTTTTTTCTTTTGGGGGTTATATTCCTTTATTTGATAGTTTTTTAATGAAGAAGTTGAAAGTTTTATTATTAAACTGTTTCTTGTTTTCCTGCAAGGCTATTGCTTCACTGTCTAAGAATAGCACCAGCAAACACAGTATACTGCAAAATTAAGATAGTGTTGTTCATCATCTGACACTGTAACAACTAACAAAAGCTTTTCTCCACTGCCAGTTATTTCCAGTGGAAAGATCATTTAGTATTTTGACCCTATCCTGAGACAGATGTAAGCAAGTTATAATACAAGGTGAGGCAAAAGTATGATTACAGTTGTGAGCATGCAAAACACAGAGTGTATTCTTGTATTATTATTATTTATTAATTATTGTATTATTTTCCATATGAACAACTATAAGCCTATTTTTGCCCCATCCTGAATTATATAAGGCTTAAGATAACAATGTTATCTTTGAATTATATAATTTTATGGCTAGATTTTACCACAAATCATTTCAGGAATTCTGAATATTATACCTTGTAGCCTAGCCTAAAAATCATAGGGCAGTGATGGCGAACCTTTTGAGCTCGGCATGTCAGCATTTTGAAAAACCCTAACTTAACTCTGGTGCCGTGTCACATATAGAAATGTTTTGATCTTTGCAACCATAGTAAAACAAAGACTTATGTTTTTGATATTTATTTATATATTTAAATGCCATTTAACAAAGAAAAATCAACCAAAAGAATGAGTTCAGGTGTCACCTCTGACACGCGTGTCATAGGTTTGCCATCACTGTCATAGGGTGTTGGGAGGAGGTACATATTGTGTTTATCTGTAATTGTTAGAAAGTTAAGGGGTATTTTCTTCCAGTAGCATTGTTGTAGTTACTTCTTCCATTGGTACTGCTAAAAGTTGCTAAATCTTTTATCCACAACTAATTTTAGCCAACTATGCTGGACAACTTTATTTAGTGGAGGGGGTTTCCATTTTCACTCCTCGATAGATTTTATGTATTTCTCACATGCTCCTTCACTCGTTGGTTCATCTGGTTCTGCAGGGTTACTCAGTGTCATCTTGGTCAGCCAACCATCTTCATGACAAGATGTGCTGACAAGTCCTGGCTTCCCTGCAAGAGCTGCATTAATTGCAGTTACTTCTGATAGAGAATAGAGTTTGCTAGCAGCTTTCACACGTTCCTAAGCACCAAATTCATCTTATTTGATCAATTTTGTCCCAATTTAAGACAGACTACAGTGAACAACACCTCCCAAAGCTTCCTGTGCAAAATTGCAGATTCTCACTGTTCCAATACCATTTTCTGTTGTTATCAATTCCCGCTACTCAATGAGAGCAGATTGGGGCGGGTGCTCTGCCTCCTGATGCCACACACCCGTAGGCCCCAGGGCCGTGGTCTGTAGGCTCTGTGCTACTCAGAGCACCCACAGGAGCACCACTTACAGGAGTGTGTGGCCTGGGAGTGGAAACCCAGCTCCTCAGTCACGCTGGGCCCATGGGGGCAGGGCCTATGCCTAGTTTTTCAAATTTAACATTGAATCAAATTACTCCCCTTTTAGGACTTTGTTGTGAAGTGTGTTCTTTTTTGCTCTTTTCCTCCCAGATCTTGAAGGGCCTCAACCTGCAGGTTCGGAGTGGGCAGACGGTGGCCCTGGTTGGGAACAGTGGCTGTGGGAAAAGCACGACAGTCCAGCTGATCCAGAGGCTCTATGACCCTGATGAGGGTATGGTAAGTGGGAAGAACTAAGTTCTCCAAATTGGGAAGCTGGGTGCCAATTAGCCCTTGGAAATTTTTTATTTTTTTTAGCAACAAATTTGCATGTTAATGTAATTTTGGTAAAAAGGGTATGGAATTGCAAGGTATCTGGAAAATACATTCAAACCCTTGGGCTAGTTTAACAAAGGTATTCAAAATGTTAAAGCCAAAGAAGCTAGACAACACTCTTTTCAGTTCTAACTTAGTGCCTCATAACCTACTACATCACCAGAAACAGTCATCCAAACCACTGAGAGAATTATATTTGATGAGCGATTGGGTTTGGTCAAAATTATTTCATATCTCAGTTGCTGACAGTTTGGTAATCAGGGCCACAACAAATCTTTGGACAGTAATTAAATTCATCAGAGATAGTTCAGTTTTCTTAAATGTTGGAATATCAGAAGGGGAAAATGGGATAGTCTCATAAGAAACTTCTGGGGATATGAGGGACAGTAATAGCCTAGGGTATATATTTTTTGACCTCTTAAAAATTGTGTTAAATTCTGGGTGTCTGGGTGTCTCAGTGGATTGGAGCGTCATCCCATGCACCAAAAGGTGATGGGTTCGATTCTGGTCAGGGCACATACCTAAGTTCAATTCCCGGTCAGGGCGCTTACAGCAGGCAACCAATCAACATTTCTCTCTCACACTGATGTTTCTTTCTCTCTCTCTCTCTCTCTCTCTCTCTCTCTCTCTCTCTCTCTCTCTCCTGGGTGAGGATTAAAAAAAACGTTAAATTCAAACTTACAGAAAAGTTGGAAGCAGGGAACTCACTTTACTCTTTACCCTTCAGACTTACTAATTGTTTATATTTTGACCCACTTGTTTCATTGTCCTCTCTGCTCTTGTCTTTTTCATAGCAGCCATCCTAACAAATGTCAAGTGTTGTCTCAGTGTGGTTTTGATTTGCATTCTCTGATGATTAGTGTGATATTGAGCACCTTTTCATGTACCTGTTGATCTTTTGGATGTCTTCTTTGGAAAAAAAAAAGAAAAGGCTATTTAGTTCCTCTGTTTTTTTAAAATCAGATTGTTTTTTATTTTGCTATTGAATTGTATGAGTTCCATATATATTTTGGATTTTAACTCCTTATCAGTATGTGATTTGCAAATATTTACTTCTATTCCATAGGTTGTCTTTTTTTTTAATGTTTTTCTTTGCTGTGCAGAAGTTTCATGGGTTATTATAGCCCTACTTGTTTATTTTTCCTTTTGTTGCCTGTGCTACTGTTGTCATATCCCAAAAAATTATTGCCAAGATCATTGTTAAGGAGCTTTCTACCTATGTTTTATTCTAGGAGTTTTATAGTTTCAGGACCTACATGTAAATATTCAATTCATTTCAAGTTACTTTTTGTGTATGGTGTAAGATGAGGGTCCAACTTAATTCTTTTACATATGAGTATGCAGATTTATTTTCCCTAAAACCATTTATTGAAGAGATTTTCCTTTCCCCATTGTGTGTTCTTGGCACCCTTATCAAATACTAGTTGATCACATATGTGTGTGTTTATTTCTGGGATCTCTATTCTGTTTCATTGGTCTATGTTTTTGGGGTTGTTGTTTTCCAGTACCTATGTGTGTTTTTATACCAGTACCATACTGTTTTGATTACCACAGCTTTGCAATATACCTTTGTGTATTGAGGATGTTGAGGTATCCCTGTCCCCACTGAGTGCTGGGGCTGGAGTCCTTACAATATCTCAAGAACAAGAACTTTCTGAGACTAGCATGGGAGGATGAATGATTTTTATTTGTGTGACGTTACATCCCTGGGTTTCCCAAGTCCCATTCCCCTTAGCCTAGTCCTGGAAGAAGTGAGCTGGAGATTCAGTAAAGCTAAAAGCAAAGCCAGTGTCCAGAGTTTCCATTCCATTTTGCAGCCGGGAGTCAACCAACATTCCAAGTTCAGCATCAGGCTAGTTGCAGTCCATTAGTCCACTATGTGGATGAATTCAGGGAAGCAGGAGCAAGTCCCGCAAGCCAGGAGTCAACCAAGAGGCACCAAGAGGGTGAAGTCCTTTGTTCAGGGAATTAAATATCCCCAATCTTCCCACGCTTGCAGTGGCCATGCCCTTTTTGGCCAGTGACCTCTGTTCTCAGGTGTGACTAAGAGCAAGCACCTTTACTAGCCCCCCTAACCTTACTGGGCATGCATCTACCTCCCTGCTTCCCCTAGCAGTCTGCAGGGAATAGACAGGTGGCTCCCTGAGGAGTGTAAAGCTTTAGCTTCCTGGTGAAGCTGCCCAAATGGCATGCCTATAATATTTGGCCTTCCCTTTGCTCCTTTCCTGTTATTAATAACTAGGTTCATTACAATGGTATCCCTTTGAAGTCAGGAAATGTAATGCCTTCAGTTTTGCTTTTATTTCTCAAGATTGCTTTGACTATTCAGGGTCTTTTATGATTCCATATGAATTTTGTATTTTTTTTCTATTTTTGTGAAAAATGCCATTGGAATTTTAACAGGGATTTCATTGAATTTGTAGATCATTTTCAATAGTATGGATATGTTAACAATATTAATTCCTCCATGCCATGAACAAGAATATCTTTCCATTTATCTGTCTTCTTTAATTTCCTTTATTAATGTGCTATACTGGGAAAGATATTTGTATTCACTTATCCTTTTTATACCAACCAATTAACAATTTGAAAAATTGCAAGTTTTAGCAAATATTTATTCCAGCATTTGAAAATATATTTAACTGTAGCAACATTATCTAGCGAGTATTATCTAGATAACAATAGAGACAGTTCAATCAATATTCGCTTTAGAATTCATTAGGCACTATAATCTTTATCCTCCATTTACTAAACTTTCCTCTTTTGAAATTAGAAAGTTAGAGATTCATCAAGTTTAAATCAGGTTCATTGTTCCTGTCTTTAAAAGCTATTCACCACTACCACATACTCATTTTATACTCAATTTCATTAGACTGTTTAGTACATGGTCTTGTTTGCAAGCCTAGAGAATGAATGTTTTGATCAGATTAGGAAGTTTCTCATTGCTCTCAGCATGAACTGTTACTCCGCTTGTTCATGTGGAGGCTGTGGGGCTGAATCTGTTATCAAGTTACACGTGTGGTTTCAAATGAGGTCCCAGTAACTGCAGAAGCACTGGAGAAAGATTGACCTTCAGCTGTTAATACCCTGGGCTCCGGTGGAGGGAGGGCAGAGCGGCCTGGAGTCCTGTGAGGAGAGACTGGGGCTTGTGGCTCTGGGGAGGGAGCCCAGACCCCTGGGCTGAGTCACTCTCCTGCACCACAGTAGCCATCCTTCTTCTAAAATCTTCTTAGAGGATTGTTTATTCAACCTTTATTAAGCAAATAATAAATGCCCAACATATATCTCTAACTGTACAGGGTGTTATTAGAGAAGAAAAAGTAAGTCATAGTCCTCAGCCAATGACTTCTACAATGACTGTCCTACAGTGTGTCTTGAAGGAAATAAAATGTCCAGCAGGTGGGAAATGCTAAAGAAAATTATGGTGTATTACATATAGTAAAACATCATAATGCCATCAAAATGATATGCAGACTGGGTAGGAAAGTGGACTTTTATTCACATTTACTAATGGTAAGCAAAAATAATACTATGCCAAAACTAAGCCAAAATGTTTATGGAGAATTACCCATCCATGAAAAAACTGTATATGTAAGGGGAAAATATCAGGAGAACATATACTTTTTATTGTTATTCTTGCACATTGTTCTTTATTTCCATTCTCATTCTAACCACTGAAATAAGTTCAATATTAGCTAAGACTTTTTTCGTAACCAATGAAAGAGTATTATGCTAAATGAAATAAGCCAGTCAGAGAAAGACAAGTATCACATATCTCACTCATATGTGGAAGCTAATGAACAAAATAAACTGATGAACAAAATACATTCCAAGACATAGAAGCATGGAACAGACTGTGGAATCTCAGAGGGAAGGCAGGGGTGGGTGGGTGGGCGGGAAGAGATCAACCAAAGAGCTTGTATGCACATATATATGCATAACCCATGGACACAAACAATAGAGTGATGAAGGCCTGGGATGGGGGGGCAGAGGTGGTCTAGAAAGGACCAATGAGGGGGGGAAAGAGGACATATGTAATACTTTCAATAATAAAGATTTTTTTAAAAACAGTCTTGATGCTTTAGATATCAAATGGCTCAAATATTTAATGAAAATATTCTCTTTTTTTTTCAGATTAGCATAGATGGCCAGGATATTAGGACCTTTAACGTCAGGTATTTGAGGGAAATCATTGGAGTGGTGAGTCAGGAGCCAGTGCTATTTTCTACCACAATTGCTGAAAATATTCGCTATGGCCGTGGAAATGTCACCATGGATGACATAAAGAAAGCTGTCAAAGACGCCAATGCCTATGAGTTTATCATGAAATTACCACAGGTAACAGCTTTGTTAGTGCAGTTGCCCTCAAAGTTAGCATGTCACCTCATGCAACCGAGTTTTCTTCTAAGGTTAAGCTAATAATGTTTGAGATACAAGGTTGTCCAACTTTGCTAGGTAAGTCCCTTGAATTATTCAGTTGGAGGTTTAAGGAGTAGAGCCTGGTACACAAATCACATAAAATTTTATACAGAGTATGTATTAGTAGTTTTTATGATTTAGTATTCATTAATTTTAATATAATTTATGACTCACTGTGATGGTCAAAATGATGCTCTATGTTGTCTTCATGAATTCCTAAACTCCGTAGCCTTTTCTATTTAAAATATTTTAGGGAACATTTGAGATCTTGCTCCCCAGCACATGTCAGTTTGGCTCAAATAAACTCTTATAAAAATTCTCTAAAAAAAGGGAAAGAACTTTAACAGCTCCTTCATGTTTTCTGCTGTAGAAATTTGACACCCTGGTTGGAGAGAGAGGGGCACAGCTGAGTGGCGGACAGAAACAGAGAATCGCCATCGCTCGGGCCCTGGTTCGCAACCCCAAGATCCTGCTGCTGGATGAGGCCACGTCAGCCTTGGACACTGAAAGTGAAGCTGAGGTACAGGCGGCTCTGGATAAGGTGGGTAGACACTAAACGCTGAAGGACCAGCCAATTGAAAGTTTTTGAAAATTCTTCCTAATGCTTTGCAAGTCCAGATTGAAACACATGAGAGCCAACGAAGCTCTCTCGTGGAGCTTTATTGACTTCCCCTCTGTCAGGTCACATTGCAGAGAGGTGGATGGCCCATTATCTGGCTTGCTGACCAAGGTACAGTGAGCCGAAATCCAGGCCTAGGCATTGAGCCACTCATCTTTGTTTGTCCCTTGCAGGTAGGTCATTGCTTTGATCCAAAGTAGTTGTGTAAAAATCTACCAAAAAAATATGGTTACCTAGACACTGGTCCAACTGAAAAACAGTCAAAATAATTGCCTTATTTTGTAGGCAGTAACATCATTTTTATCTATTCATGAAGGCGAGTGGATGATTTTCTGGAAATAAAGTTCAATTTGTATTTGTCTAAACAAATAAATAAGCAGCACATTTTAAGGATGCTGAGCTCACGTTCCTGGGTCAGATATTCTAAATCTTTCTATCACATTTAAGCTGAAGCTTCACAAGAAGAACCTTATCTTAGGACCCTTTGGGCATCAGTGCTGATGTCAACTGTAATAACAATGGAGTGTAAAAACCAGATTCGTGTGGCACCAACTTACTGTGGTTAGCTATTTATTTATTTGCCTTCTCTCTCCCAGGAAGAATAAACCCCTTAAGAGGCAACACTAATAAATGTTTCATATCTGTATCTATATAACATGTAATCCAGTGCCTTGCACATAGGAGAGCCTAAATAAATATTATCATGATCCAATTCATTGAGACAATACATGTTTACAGTAAAAAAAAAGTAATGACCATATTAGCTTTTGACTCAATAGATAACAGCTATTTGTCAAAATAAATAATAGGTTTTTCAATATAAGATCTTAAAGAATATAAAAGTGGATTTGATATTTTGAAATTTTAAGGTAAGTCAATAACCACAAAGTTTCGTACCCACATGCATTCTCCTATGCACAGCCCCTTTTCCAGATTCCTGAACCCTTCTTGATGCTGGGACAAGAACCCCGGCATCTCTTTTTATGGTTTAACTCTTTTACATTTAGTTAATTCATCTAGTTTAAAATTTTAGAGTAAAGACTGATGTAGAAAGATCACATTAATTTTTTTCCAGGTGGCTATACAATTGGCTCAATACCATCCTATATAATAAAAGGCTAATATGCAAATCAACCGAACAGCAGAACAATGGTCGCTATGATGCACACTAACCTCCAAGGGGCAGACACTCAATGCAGGAGCTGCTTCCTGGTGGTCAGTGCACTCCCACAGGGGGAGCACTGCTCAGCCAGAAGCCAGGCTCACGGCTGGTGAGCGCAGCGGCAGTGGTGGGAGCCTCTCCTGCCTCTGTGGCAGCGCAAAGGATGTCCGACTGCCGGCTTAGGCCCACTCCCCATAGGGAGAAGGTCTAAGCGTCAGTTGGACATCCCCCTAGGGCTCCCAGACTGCGAGAGGGCACAGACCAGGCTGAGGGACCCCCCCTGAGTGCACGAATTTCGTGCACCAGGCCTCTAGTTTATTATATAATCCACCTTTTCTCTATTGATAGAGAATGCCATATTTATCCTATACTAATTCTTAAATGTTTCATATCTATTTCTGGACTCTATTTTGTTCTATTGATCAAATTGCCTATTCATGTGATAACTTCCCCTGCATTTTACTGTTTTAATTGCTGTAGCTTTTATCTGGTAGAGATATTCCCTTCTCATGAAAAACGTTCATAATTTTCATGACTGCCCTTTTTAAAAAATATTTTCATTAATTTTTAGAGAGAGAGGAAGGGAGAGGGAGATAGAGAAAGAAACATCAATGTGGGAGCAGAACATCCATTGGCTGGCTCCTGTACAAACCTTTCTGGGGATCGAGCCTGCAACCCAGGCATGTGGCCTGATGGGGACTCAAACCAGCAACCTTTCAGTGCACAGGACGACACTCAACCAACTAAGCCATACCAACTAGGGCTCATGGCTGCTCTTTTCAAAAAAATTGAGATATAATTTATATACCATAAAGTTCACCCTCTTAATATGAACAATTTATTGGTTTTTAGTATTGTCATAAGATTTTGCAACCATCACCACTATATAATTTTAGAATATTTTCATCATCCCAAAAGGAAACCTTGAACCCACCAGCTGTCACTCACCATTCTACACTCACCCTAGCCATAGCAACCTCTAATCTACTTTTTGTCTGTATGGATTTGCCTATTCTGGACATTCCTTGTAAATGGAATCATACAATGTATGGTCTTTTTGACTCGCTCTTTTCACTTAGCATCGTGTTTTCAAGGCCATCCCTGTGGAAACATGCATCAGAGTATCATTCCTTCTTACGGTGCAATAATATTCTCTTGTATGGACATACACATTTCATTTACTCTTTGATCAACTGATGAATATGTGGATTAGTCCCACTTTTTTGGCTATTATAAATCTAGCCTCTTGTTTTTGATTTATGTTTTAACCTACTTAGCTGAATTAGGTTATACTCTAATAACTACCCTAATATGGTTTTATTGCCTCAAAGTAGAAGTAGTCACACCTGTCAGGATGACTACCATCAATAAATCAACAAGTGCTGGTGAGGATGCGGAGAAAAGGGTACCCTAGTACACTGCTAGTGGGGATGCAAACTGGTGCAGTCATTGTGGAAAACAGTATGGAGTTTCCTCAAAAAATTAAATATGGAACTGCCATTTGACCCAGCAAATCCACTTCTGGGAATATATCTGAAATAGCCTGAAACACTAATCAGAAAGAATATATGCACCCCTATGTTCATTGCAGTGTTATTCACAATAGCCAAGATTAGAAGCAGCCCAAGTGCCTATCAGTCGATGAGTGGATAAAAAAGCTGTGGTACATTTCACGATGGAATACTACTCTGCCATAAAAACGAAGGAAATCTTACCCTTTGCAACAGCACGGATAGACCTGGCGAGTATTAAACTAACAAACAAAATAGAAACAGACTCAGATACAGAGAACAGACTGACAGCTGTCAGAGGAAAGGGAGTTTGGGGTGCTAGGTGAAAAAGGTGAAGGGACTAAGCAAAATAAACCTTATTAAAAATAAAATAAATCACATAGGGGGAAAAAGACACCATTAACCTAATTCTTGACACTCACTAGAGTATCAAGAAGTGTAACGATTATAAATGACACAGCATGAATAATTTGATGAGCATTTTTCAGGTTTTAAATTCCCATGAATAAACCCACCAAGCCAGCATGCCCATTCACTGTACTACTTAGAGGGATGATTTGCAGATTTTAACATGCATTTAAAAATCACCTGGGCCCTTGTTAAAAATCAAAGTTACTAGCCATACTCCAGAGGTTGTGATTCAGACAGACTTTGAACCATGTTTTGAACCATCCAGACCCCAAGGTACATTTTTGCCTAAACCGCCTACATGCAGTTCATGAGAATTACAGGTAAAATCAGGCAACTTCAGAAGAAACCCTGCAGAAGCCTCTGGAGAAGGCATATGTGGCAACCACTCCCCTAACAGAAGTCTCCAGCATGCCATATAGCTCAGAACTAGGGCTCCTCAGGCAGGTATGACCACACTTGAGAAGGGTCAAACCTTTTCTCCTATTTCTTGAGTAAAGACTGACACTCCTTAGGCTTCCAGTTACCCATCCCTATACTGAAAGGATTGGATTTCTGTCTGGTCCAGACCCCGAGTCTCACTTTAACCTTTTATGTATATACTAGATGAGTGATGCCTTTGTGCCCTAATCACACGGCACGGGGGATGCGTGGGGGATGGGGTGAGCTCCTGTCTCACCAACCGCAAGTGTGTCCATCCCACTGCTTAACTGTGCCTGCTAATTGACAGTGTGTCGACTTTGTAAACCTGCTGCCCCATGTGTTTGTCCTCTTCCCCTTTAGGCCAGAGAAGGCCGGACCACCATTGTGATCGCTCACCGATTGTCTACAATCCGAAATGCAGATGTCATCGCCGGCTTCGAAGATGGAGTCATCGTGGAGCAAGGAAGCCACAGCGAACTAATGAAGAAGGAAGGGCTGTACTTCAAGCTGGTTAACATGCAGGTATCTGCCTCCCGGGAAGTGTGCTGCTGTTGGCTCCTCAATATAGTGTTTGTACATATCGGTTAAAATATCAGACAGCTAATGCCATAGTGAAGAGTAGGAGGTATTCAGGGGGAGTCCTAAAAGTATGCATTTGAGACTTTAATTCAGAATCGGTGAAACAGTCCTGAAAGAGAGAGATGCGGAGAGGATGAAAATGCCCAAAACATTTTGAACGTATTCCTTAGGACAGGGATTCTTAATTGCCTGGGGAGCATGTTCAAACTAACAGGTCCTTTCCACCATAAGATTAGGGATGCTCAGAGTGGTGGTAGGAGTAGGAGGGCAAGGCCAGGATCTCTAGCGATGGGGGGAGGTTTTATGTAATTTTAAAATGCTTCCCAGCCCTAACCGGTTTGGCTCAGTGGATAGAGAGTCGGCCTGCGGACTGAAAAGTCCCAGGTTCGATTCCGGTCAAGGGCATATACCTGGGTTGCGGGCACATCCCCAGTAGGAGGTGTGCAGGAGGCAGCTAATCGATGTTTCTCTCTCATCGATGTTTCTAACTCTCTATCTCTCTCCTTTCCTCTCTGTAAAAAATCAATAAAATATATTTAAAAAAATAAAAATAAACAATAAAAAATAAAAAATGCTTCCCAGATGATTCTAATAAAACCAATAGCAAGACTCATAAATCTAGGAAGTGAATACAAGCATACCTCAGAGATTTGAGGGTTTAGTTCCAGACCCCTGAGATAGAGTATCACAAGGAAGCAATCATAATCATTTTGCTGGTAGAGGGTCTTTCAATTTGTAAAAAATGCACCATCTGTGCAGCATAATAAAGTGAAGTGTGATAAAGTGAGGTATGCCTGTAGTTTGTTTTTGTTAAAAAATGATTCACTCTAATTCCTAAAACAGGTGATATTGGGAATTATTGGTTTGTCTTATTGAACAAGACATTTTATTGTGCTTACTCACTTTTAAACTTTGCAAAATAAATACCCTAAAAATATTTTATCCTATAAACAGGATTCTTATATTTATAAAAGTATATGCATTTGCTTTGCTATAATTGTGACTAGTATGTACATATATATTTTTGTTCTTTTTCAGATATACATCATTCAAATACTATGAGTTTAATGCATACTTAGCAGTCCATTACATTAATGTGTAATTAATTGCTCTGTCATTTCTCTAAAGCTGGATACATGCTTTCTTTCCAGTGTTTCTCTATTCTAAATATTGCCCTTGAAGCATGTGGGTCAAAAAGGTTAAGTAAAAAATTTGCTTTATTTTCTGACAAGTAAATCCACTCCTCTGACCCTTAGTTTCCACATTTGGAACACTAAACCTACCATGCAACGTTGTTATAAGGTTAAGAAATAAGCACTGAATATACTAAAACACACACACACACACACACACACACACATACACACACACACACAAAATAAAAAAATTTTATAGAATGTGAATTATGTCTCAATAGGCTGTTATTTAATTTTTTAGCACCCGACACAAAATAGATGCATGGGACATGATAGTTATTGAAATTTACAAAGTTCCCGAAGTGAAAATATCCAATGAAATGATAGAAAGTGTTATAACTCATGCTTGATTCATGCTTGATTTTGCCAGAGAATGTTCTCCAGCAGGAGGGGATGAATCATGGTGTCTCCTATTTGCTGCTGGGTCCTCGAGTGAGGTAGTCACTTTCTCCCCTGGCTGGCCTATTTCTGTGTCCCTGAGGGAATGACCTTGCACTCCCACCAGGACTTAGGCTGGGAGACTGCCAAGGGGATAGGACCGCTCTGACCTTTCTATAGCCTCTCCTCTTAGCTCTCTTTCCTAGGAAACGCTGTAGGATTAAAGCCTGGTGTGCCTGAACAGGCTGCTGCCACCTAAGCGGTGGCTTGGGCAAGTCCTTGGGTCTTGGTGCCCACACCTTTCCCACCTCTGACTGGAGTTTGCCTTACCTTTGACTTGCTGGTGCTGTCGGAGAGATGGAGGAAAGAGCCACAATGAGCCTGAGGGTTTACGAAAGGCTCCCACTAACCCTGCTTTCTTTTCCTCAAACTCCAAAGACCAACATATTGTCAATAGAGCCTTGTCTTAGTTTTGTTTCTAAGCAGAATAATCTCTAGGTAGAGTGTTGGTTCTTAGTTGTTTCTTTTAACTATAACTTAATTTTTTTCAAATTATAAATGGAATGCATTCTTATTTTACTTTTCTTAGAATTTTATATTTTCTTTTTTAAAGATATTTTTATTGATTTCAGAGAGGAATGGAGAGGGAGAGAGAGATAGAACATCAATGATGAGAGAGAATCATTGATTGGCTCCCCCCTGCACATCTCCTACTGGGGATCGAGCCCCCAACCTGGGCATGTGCCCTTGACTGGAATCAAACACAGGACCTTTCTATCCACTGAGCCAACCCAGCTAGGGCCATTCTTATTTTTTTAAATCCAAGCATTTTTTAAAAATTTAAACTTGAGTATCTTAGAAATGTGAAATTCCCCCATAACCAAACCTTCTGCTGACAGCTATTTGATATTTATTTTTCATCTTCATAGCCTAAAAGAACTAAATGGTAACTCCATATTTCCTCAATTATTCATGAGATTGAGCATGTTTTCACATATTCATTGTCCATCTGTATTTTTTCCTCTGTGAAAGAACCTTCTCCTGCATTAGGCTGTTTTTTGGTTGGGTTGTTTATAATATTCTTATACATTTATAAGAATACCTTGCATTAAAAGGAAATATGCTTTTCTCTTGCACATATTAAATATATTTTTTCCTATTTTGTGCTTTCAATTTCACTTTATTGTTTGTTTGGCTGCCATAAGAAGTGTTTAAATTGTACGTAATTAGATTTTTTTCTTCCATGTCTTCAGGATTTGGGGTTGTTCTTTGAAGATATTCACCCATATTTCCTATCAACATTTATTGTTTTACTGGTGTTTTTTTAATCCTCACCACAGGATATGTTTTTATTGATTAGAGAGAAAGAAAGAGGGGGGAGAAAGAGAGAGAGAGACAGACAGACAGACAGACAGACAGACATTGATTGGTTGCCTCCCATACACACTTTGACCTGGGATTGAACCTGTAACCTAGGTATGTGCCCTGACTGGGAATCAAACCTGCAGCCTTTTGGTGTACAGGATGATGCTCCAACCAACTGAACCACCCAGCCAGGGCTATTGTTTTACTTTTTACAATTAAATATTTGAGACAGCTGAAGTATATTCAAGGTGTAAGAAATGAGGGCTATTGGTTTGAAATATACTTTTGTGGCCCAATGTAGACCTCAGCACCCAGTAAATGAGGGCTTTGGGCAATGCCCAGAAAAAGTAGTATGGGTGGGTAGTGTTCATTTGATTGTAAGAGGAGGCTAAAATCAGAATGGGCTTAATGGAAGAACTATCCTTGATAGCATGGGTGAGAATACAAAAGGAGGAAAAGATAAGGGGAGGCATTCCTGAGATGTGGTCCAGTGTGAATTGCCATGAACTGAATTTGGGGGGAGCCAGGCTTAAGTATGTGGCGGAGAGCTGTGGAAGACTTTTGAGCTGGGGTACAATTTAAGCAGAGCAACCTTTTATGAAAATGAGTCTGCTAGTAGTGTGTGAGTAGGGAGAAGTGAGGATGCAGGGGTCAGTTACAAGACTACATCTTGAGTGCTGGTTGGATTTTGGGGGGGAGACAGTATAAAACCATCTTCTAGTTATAAGCAAGTAAGGAAGTCCACCTAGCAGAACATACCTTTGTAGTGTGGTTCAAGGCACAGGGGCAATATTCTGTTAGGTGTTGAAAACACAAGTGAAAAGCTAGGATCAGACAATGTGCAGAGCTCAAGATAGACAGGGTACCATAGGTGCAGTAAGGCATTAGCCATAGAATCGGGTTGGGCCAGAACCTGAAGGGCAGGAGCAAGAACAAGTCATTACTACAGGGACTGGGGTCCTGGACAAACCACGAAGATGTGTACTTGGACATGGAGGAGACAAACAGGGGACCAGACCAAAGTCAGACTCTAGCAAGGTTGGCTTGATGTTCTCTCACTGGCATTAAGCTAGATAGAGGTCCTTAAATTTCCCATCTCTGCCCCTTTAAGGAGAGAATTAATCCCAAAGCCTGCAATGAGGGTGAGCCTGCAGGTTGGGTCACCTGGGGTGAGGTGTGATGCTGAGAAGAACTGCGAGGAAGAAAGCTGATTGCACTCAGACAGTCAAGGAAAGCAGCTTAATTGCCTCATGTGAGGGAGTGACCAGCTTTTCCTTGTCCGTAGCTTTAAAAGTGAGCCCTTGGTGTTTCTTTGCTTTCTTCCCTTTCGTGGTGGCCATTCCTTGTTTTCTGGATTCTTAACATATTGAGAACATTTCTACATACCTGCTAGGTAATGAAAATTTGCCTTTTAGTTCTTAGAAAATACTTTTATACTCCAATTTTCATATTGGTCAAATTGAATTTAAGCTTCCTTTTTAACCTTTTTAACTTCCATGTGTTGATACACTTCTTTACAGTTTTCCAGCTGATGGCGGTGCTGTTATGGAATCTGTCTTCACACATGTAATATTGAAAATGTCTTTATAGTTCTAAATTTGTAGGTTACGTAGGTCTGGACACACACATACACACATGCAATTTAACATTTTGTTCTTCTTTCAGACATCAGGAAGCCAGATCCAGTCAGAAGAATTTGAAGTTGAACTAAATGATGAAAAGGCTGCCCCGGGTATGGCCCCAAATGGCTGGAAATCTCGCATATTTAGGAATTCTACTCATAAAAGCCTTAGAAGTTCGCGAAGGTATCAGAATGGCCTTGATGTGGAAACCAATGAACTTGTAAGTTGTTTTCACTTAAGTTAAATCTTTTATTGTGTGTTTTTGCTGTTGAAATTCTTAGCCTTGCTAGTATCCTGCAGGCATAGGTGACTCCTATTATGAGCCATGCTCTTCTTGAGAAAAGGAAATTTCAGATGTTAAATGTTCTTAACAATGACTTGAAATCAATTATAATTAAAAATGAATTTCCAGTGGAAACAACTTAGTCTTTGTGCTTAAATGCTTACATTAAAATTAGATATCCCATTCATCTTTGAGATACAGAGATAAATACAGGCATACCTCGGAGATATGGCAGGTTTGGTTCCAGATCATCGCAATAAAGCGAGTAGTAATCTTTTGGGGGTGGAGGGTCTTGCCTTCAATTTGTTTTTTAAAAAAAATACAACATCTGTGAAGTGCAGTAAAGCAAAGTGTAATAAAATGAAACATGCCTGCAAGGCTCATCTAACATCAAAGGCCCTGGTAGTTGCATACTCTATTACAGGTGTCCTCAAACTTTTTAAACAGGGGGCCAGTTCACTGTCCCTCAGACCGTTGGAGGGCCGGACTATAGTTTAAAAAAAAACTATGAACAAATTCCTATGCATACAGTGGCGGCAAAAACACCCGGCGGGCCGGATAAATGTTTTCGGCGGGCCGCATGTGGCCTGCGGGCCGTAGTTTGAGGACCCCTGCTCTATTAGATAGGATCACATTGGATTACCTATACTAGGAAACCCAGGGCGAGAATGGTGCCTCACAGTTACCATGGCTGCAGGCTCCTTTCATCTTTATCATCACTATCCTGGCATGTGGCTCCCATCTTCAATGATGTGGCTCCTGGAGCTCCAGCCGTCACATCTGTGTCCCAAGCAGCAGGAAGAAACAAAGATTTTCTAGAATATAACACAATCCTTTACTTACATGCCATTGGCAGTCACTGAATTACACGGCCAAACCTAGCTACAAGGAAGGGTTGAAGATGGAGTCTTTTTGCTGTATGTATTGCCACTCTGAATTAGATTGGATTTCTCTTTCTAAGAAAAAGGGGAGCATGGCCAGGAATAGCAAAATTGTGCATTTTTTAACATTTCTCACCTGAAGACTTGGGATATTATTTTTTAACATATTTTTATTGATTTCAGAGAGGAAGGGAGAGGGAGAGAGACAGAAACATCAATGATGACAGAGACTCATTGATCAGCTGCCTCCTGCACACACCGCCCCCCTTTCCCCTTCCCCCGCCCGCCTTGCACTGGGGATTGAACCTGCATCCCGGACATGTGCCCTGACCAGGAATCAAACTGTGACCTCCTAGTTCATAGGTCAATGTTCAACCACTGAGCCACACTGGCCTGGCAAGACTTGGGAAATTATTTATTCAAGTTAACAGAAACTTTTATAACAGCGAGGGAATCCATTCCTAAGAAAGATGTTTTCTTATTTCAAGAAATGGTTTGAGAATACATTTTGGTGTTATTTATTGATAAAGGATGAGTTTATTTTTACTCTTGTGTTGGCCTGAAGAAATTAAGCCTACTGAGAGTTCTTGGCATCTGGCTTTCTCTGCCCACAATATTATTTACTGCGGAAGTTTCAGGGGCTCTCTAGAGGTCTTAATCTTGGTGTATTTATAGAAAGAAGGATAATACTCGAGCTATCGTAGACCTGAGCTATCACAAGTAAGATAAACAATTTCCCCCTTGTTGGCTGTGGAAGTATTCACTTTCTATTTCTCATTTGTCCTGAGAGTTATGCTGCTAAGTCTTTGGAGTCTGGTATTTTAGACGAGAACTTCTCTTGGGGAAAATGCTCAGAGGGAAGATAAAATGCCAGTCGACAAGATTTTCACAAGTACCATCATCGTGGGATAAACAGTGGATCCAAGGGAGGGATCTTGGAAGACCTGTTTGTGTTGATTGGCAGCCTGAGAAAATGGCCCATTTATCGGGCTGGAGACCAGGACTTGAAGATAATGTTAAACAGGGAGAAAAACTAAACACAAAAATGAGAAAATGGGTGGTTTGAATAAAAAGGGGCTGAGTAGAACCTACTCCTATGCTCTGTTTCATAGAGACAAACATGACCCATTTAAACGACCATCAGGCTAGAGCATTCCATAGGCAGTTTTAGTATCTAGTTTAATGTTAACCTACCTCTGTAGTCAGAATAGTCTCCTTTTTGTGACCTAAGTCCTTCATGCTTGACCAGACATTGAATCTGATATGTGCCAGGCATGGGACTAGTTTCTGGGGATATGAAGATGTAGTCTTCACCTTTTAAAAGCCCACGTAGGGCCCTAACCGGTTTGGCTCAGTGGATGGAGCGTCGGCCTGCGGACTGAAAGGTCCCAGGTTCGATTCTGGTCAAGGGCATGTACCTTGGTTGCAGGCACATCCCCAGTGGGGGGTGTGCAGGAGGCAGCTGATCGATGTTTCTCTCTCATCGATGTTTCCAACTCTCTATCCCTCTCCCTTCCTCTCTGTGAAAAATCAATAAAATATATATTTTTTAAAAGCCCACGTAGGAAAGGAGACATGAAAACAAACAAAAGAAAAACAACAACAACAGAAAATAAAACCAGCTAAGCCATGAGAAGAGACGTCTGCACAGGGAACAGTGGGAAGAGAAAGGGACAGCATGAAGTTGGTGAGCTGGGAACCTGTCACAGAGAAGGCAGTGCCCGGCTGGGTTCTGGGGGTGAGAAGACCATGCCCATGTTCTCAGGTTCATCGTGGTACCCTACACTTGTGTGGGCGTTTAGCCTTCTGTTTACGGGTATTGTTTCATTTGGCCCCAACGTCATCCCTGAGTTAAGTGGGGACTTGAATTCTAGGGCATTTTGTGCACAGACCCTGCTTCTGCTCACTGTGCTGAGGCTGGAACAGAAATGAACTGATCACGCCGTGAAGATTGCTTCTTGGGTGAACAGCTCAGACTCAGCGGATGCTGTGTAATCATGAACACCGTGGACATGTGCAATACACTGTCCTGCTCTCTAGTGCACCGTTAGCTGGACGCTGGTTCTCTGCACTCAGTGTGCAAGTGCCTTGAGAGCGATGCAGTGTCTGTTTTCTGTGTCTGCAAACTCTGGTGGCTG